GGCGCTGGAGCCCTGGGAGAGCCGCTCGCCACCTCATCCGCTTGAAGGCAGCTGGGCGCAATCGATTGCCCGCTCTGCGGGGGTTACTCGCGGTCACGCGGGTTCGGTCGCGGCGCGGGGCGCTAAGAAGCGGCCGTCCGCCCCTTTCCGTTCGGTCAGGGTGGGGCCGTGTCCCAGCGAAGAATAAGACGAATGCCATCGGCCGTCTCTTAGGGCCCCTTCCCACGTCGCGACGGCGGTGCGCTTTCGAGCGCCGGCAGCTCGAAGCAAAGCATTGGTTTGAATGGAGACCTTCCCACGTGCAGCGGGCGTGCGCTGCTGCGCCAAGCGTCGCCGGACTCTCGCCACGCGAAGCGGAGGAGGGGGTGCGCGCCACCGCTAGCAGAATACAGCTTTAAATGGGAGCCTTCCCACTGTGCCGCCGGTGGCTGCGTTTTACCTGCTGCGGTCCCTTTGTTCGTCGTCGCCGGAGGGTCGGCGAAACATACCCCTGCAGAACCCACCCCTTCCACGGCGGGCGGCGGTGGCGGCGTCGGAAGGGCTCTGCTGCTGGAAGGAAGAGCGGCGCCTTGGTGACGTGGGAAGGCGCCCTTACTGCAGAAGTATAGTGGACACTGCACTCCACTGCAACAGACATTTGTGATCAAATCATTGCTTGCGTAATTCAACCTAACATAACACCGCTAACTATGTTTAATGTGAGGTGTGTTATGACATGAGGGTAAAATAAGCTTAACGTTTCTGGCGTTATTAGTAGTAGATGGGTTAAATGCTGAAACTATCAGCGACCCATATCATCAATTTGTTCTTAAATCTCCTGCAATATTTGCTTCTAAGGGAATTTTCGTTTATAAAGTAACGAAACATGTTTATGTTGATTTTAAATGCTTCAATTCGGACGAATAATTCATGATCATTTTACATTGTTCTGCCGTCTTGGAAGTTCGACCGTGTTCTCCTGAACTTGAGTTCAACAGAACAGGGATGCACTGGTCGACCCTTCAGTGCCCCCGTTCACATGAGGTGGGCCGTGCGTAACATCGCACTCCCGTCACTTTTCCGGATGTGGATTATGACAAGTGGGAGTGCATTAAAGTTGTTTACGTTATTTACAGAAACGATTGCCTGCATAATGCAAGCAAGGTTAACCAAAAGGTAATTAATATTTCTGGCTGATGTTTTGGGGCGACTGAGAAAGTACTTCAAGGCATTGAAATCATGGTAATAAGTTGTCATACATAAATTAGAATTTCACAAAATAGTTCGTTTCTACCCTAAATACGCATAGTAAAGGTGAGCTTTGGTAATTTTCTCTAAAGAGAGATCCGAAAGTTCCTTGGGGACGAATTGAGTAAATCGAAGACTTATCTTCTTAAGTGGTACATTCACAATTATTAAAAATGTTCTAGCAAAAGTGTTATTTTTCTATTGCCTTGAATTGGACATTACCATGAGAATTTATAAATGAGACTCCTAGAAATGAATTTTGGCCCCAGCAGGTACAAATTCATAATTTCCCAGTAGGGGACATTATTATCTCTAAGAATTCGATCTCCAACACACTTCTGTAAATTCGCAATCTGCGTGTATAGTTTCTCTTCCGTCGGCTCGTAATAGAGCGTTAAGTTTTTTTTGCATTTGTGCTAAATAAGAGCCGAGTGTCTCATTTGAATGTGTGGGTTTGGAACGATTGTGGCGGTGCGAAGAAGCAATTCCAATCGCCGCCTGCTGAAATCTCTGGTTTGCTGTTCCGTCGGAAGGCGAGAACCGGAAGTAATCCCGCTCGTAATATCCGCCGCGGCGCCGATCGTGAAGCCCTTCAGACCGTGCTCAGTGCAGCCCAGCGCCTGCTCAGGCGAAACCTTGGGTGCTTCGTTGTGTCAAAGTGGAACGCACAGCGCAGCTGAGATTTCAGTTCGACTGAAAATGCCGGATCCGAGGAACATTATTTACACGTTATTATAACTCCTTCAAAAATTTAACTGACTTGGTTAGGGAGTAATACATTTTATTACTCGCTATTATTATATACTTTGAATAATCAGAATTATTAGTAATTTTACGTGGTATAATGGTACGAAAAAAATATGGCAATTTTGTATTCTCTGAAATTTTATTGACCAATGAAATTTTAAGTTTAATATGGTATGGTTCACTCTAATAAAATTGAGCTATCGCGCTTCTTAATTTTGCTTATAATGTACACAGTATTTTAAATTTAGTTTACCTAACGTAAGATTTGAAACAGTGACTTCAATGATCCTCTTAAATTTTTAACGATTCCGAAGAAAGAAGTCGCAATTCTCACAAAAATCCTATTATCTCAATTACCTACTTTGTATAAACTGTTCGTTTTGAGGGAAAAGTAAAAATAACTCCTGGTCTTTAAAGGGACATCGAGGGTGGTGGCTGTGCTTCCATTTTGATTTAACCTTATCCGATGTCGGCTTCTTTCTCGTAGTCACGCAACGTAGGTACTAAAAACGAGGTCTTGCCATCGATTCCTCCTTTCAGCCTTGGCCGAGTAGCAGAATGCATCTTTTGGGAGCTCTGAGCAGTTGGTTTTCTTAAAGTTTTTTCAGGGAAACTGATCTCAGCAACAAAAACAAACCGGAATTAGTTTAAGTTCAAAATACCTCGTATGGTAAGACGGAAATTATTATTCATCGAGTTCGATGTTTTGTAGAGGTCGGACTTCAGTCTACCCATGAAAACATACTTTCTTAAAGATGGCCTCCTACGTAAGAGTCTCATTTCGTCAAGAACAATGTTACGTAGTTGTTCGCAGTCTTCGGGTTGTTACGCAATGAGAAACTATTATGAATCAACAATTGATGTACGTAACCAGGCCTGGCATAGAAAGGAATCGATAGCAACTTCAGAAGGACACTCGTTTACGTTATTTAACAATGGTCTGAACGGGGGTCTAGAGGGCACAAATGCGACGTACAAAAGGAAAGAAAGCTATCCGCGAATTGCGAACTTTTTTTTCTTCATTGATACGTCTTCATCTTGTTTGCTTTTCTGATTGGTATATCTGTGCATAAATCTTTCTGTACTTACGCACTTCAGTCTGAAGGGTATTTATGTTCCCTTCATGAAGAGCATTTGACAGTTTAACGGGAGTTTCAACTTTGAATTCGTTTTCTTTCGGGATTTTGCGACCTCTAATGAAGAAGCCCGTTGTCGAATATTTGAGAAGAGAATTAATCTTCCGAATGAAACTGGATTTTGCAAAGCGCCTTACCCATCGTAGCGGCGTGTAAACGTCTGTCGACGTCTACCAGCGCAGTAGCAACAGCAGCAGCGATTTCTTCGACCGGCTGCGCTTCAAGGAGCACAGAAAGAGACTTATCTTTTTATCCCAATGGCCTTGATATCACTTCGCAGGCAATTCGGAGTGATGAAGTTGGCCTGGCCCGTGATCAATGTGAGGAGTAAATAAATGCTTGCATAGAATCAAGCTCAAGACTTGCAGTACCACAGAACCTTTCTTCTCTTCTTGCATGGTTTGTTTCGCCACGTCGAACGTTGACGAACATGCTCATTTACCCAATTTTTTCAAGACGTGGCTGGACCAAGGCTTTTTTAGGCCGATTGTCCGGTCGAATCTGACCTGTGGAGAAAATGGATACTTGCAGACTGTTATCCGTTATTTGACCTCTTTAGTTTCCGAAGTAAAGCTCCTAACCTTTTGAAAGTAAACAAACTATCTGTTTCTATCTACTCGATATTTACTGATTCGAGTAGAGAAACTCTCTAATGTGAGGAATAAGATACTCATCGTATCTTCGTTCAGGTTCAAAATTTGTGTAGAATTACCTCCCTGGGAAATCACGGCACAGTATTGGTCAATTTCTTTCCGCCGCGTAAGTCGTTACGCTGAGGTGCTTTCATTTCGGAAAATTAACCTTAGCCAGCCCTTCGGCTTCCTGCTGGAGTAGCGTATTTGCTGCTGAATTCTCTGTGAACGTTAACTGCGTTCCACAATTTTGTCGTTGATATCCGCAATAATTTTGATAATTGTAACAGTATTGGAAGTGCGAAGAAAATGTACTATTTCCATGCAGTTCTCTTTTGTCATATTTCAGATCTTATATCAGAAACAAATAGCCCAGTCATTTAAATCTAACTTCACCCCGCCTTCAGTTACATCAGTGATGAAATGGAGGTCGCATATTGTGAGGCAATGTGCCAGAACGTATAGGTACTCTTGCACCATTTTCTGTAATTTCGAGCGCTGAATAGCCTTGCTGTTAAAGCACAAACTCATTTGTTCTTACATTGATCTTAAGGACGACGCTCAACAAGTTTACAAAAATCAACAAAGTTTCGAAGTACGCTGCTTAATGATCTAGTGATGTTAAGATGTAAAACGAACAAGAACATTTGAAAAATTTTCAAACCCAGGCCGTATAGAGATGATAGATTTGATGTTGCGCTTAAGAACTCCGTGAACTTGGAAGACGGGTAACAAAAACAAGAAAGAAACTAGGAATGGAAAGGAGATTTTTTTATTTTTATGTCCTGGTTTCCCTCTCCTGACACCTCAAAGATAATCTCGGTATTGATAAAATGGACCCAGAAGGAAAAATGGCGGGGAGGGGGTAAAATTGGAAGGGGTTTGATTATAGTAGTCCTGTTACACATACTGCTAACATATTATGGGCTACCTAGCAGCTCCTTTCTCTATTGTGTCAAATTAAGCCCTGTCGTTATTTCTAATACATTTTTCTTCTGTTATCCTTCTCGTCTTCCGTGGGCGAGGTGCAGCAAATCTGGTTTACGGCGTCTTAGCAGGCTCAGCTTCCCTCTCGTCTGCGCTAATTGGCTCTCGGGGCGCGGCCTCAATGGCGCCCTTGGCCGCGAGGGCTGTGGGCGGAGGGGCGGCTGACGCAAGGGTTGCAGGGGGCTGCCGCCCCGCCCGTTGCGTCCGCGTGTACTGAGCCGCTGGCGGTCGATATCGTCGCTGGCTGTCGCGCTGGCGGTGCGCGGGGGGCGGGGCGGAGTGGCGGGCGCCGGCGCCGGGCGACGACGGGGTCGTGCTCCGGAGACTGCGTAGCGTTGCAGCAGTTGCGTGAGAGCGTCGCGAGCCGCTGGGGGTGTGTGGGTGGTGCGTGCCGGTGCGTGCTCGTCGCCAGTCGCCCGGACTCGGCCGTCCGCGTTGTTGGCTGGTTCCGTCTCGTGCGTTCGCCTCGGAGCGGCCATCGATCACGTACTCGTAACAAGTCGCCCGCCCAGTCGGGGAAGTGACGGAGGCGGCGGCAGCGTGCTCGTGTGTGTGTGTGTGGATTGACATGGACCGCGTTAATCTGCTCGGTTCTACGCGTCTTCTCTAGACTGTCACAGGATCTGCATTACGTTGTAGGATTATGTACTGTGGCGGCGTCGTAATGTGACGTGTTGCTGCTCCGTTTTGTGATCGCGATCTGCAGGAGCAGCTTGGGATTTTTCAACCCTTGACGGCGGCCCGTAGTTGACTGTTGTGGACGCCGCGTGGCCGTCGTCGGACCGCAGCGTCTGACAGCGCTGACGTTTTCCTTCCCCTCCCCTCCCCCCTCTCTCCCCGTCTCATCCCTTCGGGTTGTCCGTTCTCCTGCCCGTGTGATAGTGCGCAGCTAGAGATTTCTGACAGTTTGCGAGGGGTGACGGTTCGTGATAAACGAGCCCTAGCGGGCGATGCGTAGGCGGATATTGCCCGCTATTTTAGTATTTTAACAGTTTTACTTCTGGTGAGAGCACTTGCGGCTGTAGTGGTGTTTTAATTTGCTGGGATTTCCACGAAGATACTTTTAAGTTTTCGTTTCGCTTTTTAATTCGTAAGCCATGGGGGATCGTTTGGGTACACCTGCTTCGTACGCGGAAGAACTAGAAGGTAATTTTTATGCGTATATGTATTATCTGTACGGTTTTCGTTTTTGGCATCCTGCTGAAGTTAGTTTTCGAAGAATGAGTTTAATTCATTATATTACTAAAATGCTCTGATATTTATAGATCAGCATGAATTGCTAGACGTCTTATTATGTATATACTGGCTGATTAATCCTTCTGTTTTTTTTTTGTTTTTCTTTTTCACTTACATTTGTGTTGGATGTTAATGCTTTTTGTACTCACATTTGTTTTTTGACATTTTCTCATCTATGTCTCCCATACTGAATGCCTTTTTTTCTTCTTTTTTGCAGTTCTATGCAGCAATCGTGTAAGCCAAATGACTAAGACCTACAATGATATAGAAGCAGTAACACGGCTTCTAGAAGAGGTGAATATTCTGTAACAGTATTTATTTATTTGGTATTCTTGTGCATTAGTCATGTGTTGCATTTTTCGTTTTTTGTTCCATTTTCAGAAAGAGAAAGACCTTGAATTGACTGCACGGATAGGCAAGCAATTATTGGCCGATAATCAAAGACTAGAAGCAACTGTTGCTCAACTTGACACAGAACTTCGTACAACAAATGAACAAGTCACTCAACTTACCCATGAACTGCATAAAAAGACAGAACTTATTCAAATCCTCACAAATGATGTGGATGACAGTGGATCAGAAGCAGGTGAATTTTTGTTATTAAATTTTTTACCGATCAATTACCTACATGTTTAGTTTCAATTGACTGCCAAAGAGTTAGTGATTGTCAGTAAAAAATTCAGTAGATCATTCACTGTAGCATTGGCCATATTTTTTAACGTTGTTTTCTATTTATCTATAAAGTATTTTAATTAAACTTACTCCATACTGCATTTATTGCAAAACTTTAGTTTTAGAATTGTGCCAATATTGCACATGAGCTATATAATTAAGGAATATAACTTGAAGTGTTATTGTTTCTTCTTTTCATTCTTATGAAACTGCATTATCATACAAAATTTTAAAGGTAGTTTCAAACTGTAAACTCAGTTGAATAATTGTTGGGATATTTAATTATTTGTTTATTAGTATCCATTTGTGTATTTGTTCAAGTTGAAGACTACAAATTTTGTCAAATCATAAATATAACCATGGTGTATGAACGTACTTGTCTTCTAAATCTAATCATGTTACGGTCTTCATCTTCTTATTGTTATAGAAAATTAATCATGTAAATTTGAATTTTAAAAAATTGTCTATGAACTAGACCCTTTAAATAAATGTAGTAGTGAGCAGAGCAAGTTATAGAGGGAGCTAGAATATAAAACAGAGATAAAAGCGAGTTTTTCTTTCGTTTAAGTTTGTATTTAGGGAATGTCATCTTTATTTTCAAGATAACAAGCTTGTTAAACTGGGGAAAATATGAGTGAACAGTTTTAAAAGCATTTTATTGATAAGGTGACATTTTATTAATTTTTATCTGTTAAAGTATAATCAAGTAATTATTTTTAATATAATAGGCAAACCTTAGAATTTCAAAAACTATATACTAAAATAAGATAATAGAGACAAATTAAAATTGCTTTATATTCACATTTGCTACCTTTTATATTAAAATCTCTTGAAATTAATCTTAATCCAATAATCATCTGATCACCACCACATGGGATTACATGGTGAAATAAGAATAAGGGAATCTTATTAATCCAAAATATCAACTTATTACTTTGGGCACCAAAATATTTAATATTGCTACATAATTCATTCCAGAGAGTTTTCAATTATTCAGGATATTATTCAAGATAATACTCGCTCTGAATTTTTGGTGGAGGTGTTGGTATGACTTGTGGCTTAGTTAACTCTCTACTCTCCCTTATCTGAAAATTGTATAAAGTTGATGTCACCAATTTTAAAAACTGATGTGCAACGGGGAGATGGTACATTGTTCAAAGTTCCTGAATAAATGAGAGATAGGAGAAAATTATTGATCATAGTAATTACTCTGTTTTTGTTGGTGCTGATTAGCCCTCTCACGAAATGCCTCAATTATAGTGTAAAATTAAAAATGTTTAACTTCATAATTATATATTAAGGCCATTTTATTACAGACATGTAGAATATTCTTTTTAGTAAGATGCTTGAAAACATTGCACAGTTTTGTATTGTGTACATTTCAAAATTGTTACTTGGTTAATTTCGTATTGACAATTACTGTTTGTGTGACTGAAGGAACTCCATCTGGGGGTCTGCGCTCCATCAATCTGGAACTCCTCCAGAAACATGTGTCGTCTTTGGAGGAGGAGAACCGTTCCCTGCGGCATGAGGCCAGCCAACTGGCTCATGAAACAGCAGATTGTGAGCAAGCGGAGCAGCGACTTGTACAGGAGCTTTCCTTACAGTTGTGTAAGTCATCACCTTCTAGTTGGTAATAATTATGACGCTAGGTAGGATAATACTGGAGGATTGCATAATTTGTCTTCATCTATACTAATACAATTTGCTTTTGGAGTATGTCAACAAATCTACTACCTACTATTATAAAAACTGCTAATTAAAATCTAATGGTTTTTATGTATTGTCTCTGTGAGATTTCAAAGTAATATTTATATCCCTTCTTCCTAAAGTTGTTACCATTCCAAAAAATCCAATGTGTGTTTAATTTGCATATAAACTTACGAAAACTTGATTTACAGAAAGTAATTGAAAACTAGTGTATTTTCCCCAATAATATGAAAAGTTTTGTTCATACTTTCGCTTTAATTAGCATATTTAACAAAATTCCTCAATGTTAACACCTCCTAACTTAAAGTACATTTACAAGTATTTACCCTTCATTGCATTTGTTACAGCCAGTGCAAATCAAGAGATGTCTGCATTGTCGGTTGAGTTGGAACGTGTCAAGGAAGAAAGCAGACTCCAGCATGAAGAAATAGTAAGCTTAACGTGCAAACTCAATGATGCTGAGACCAAGTTGCAAAAGGTGACTATTTACCTAGTAATGTGATTATTCTGATCAATGAATTGAGAATATAATGTGATCCTGTATTTCATTTCATTGAAGACAACTGTAGAGAATGAAGAGCTCTCAAGCACACTGAATATCACAAGGGATAATCAGAACAAATTGGCTATGGAGCTAGCAGAGTTCAAAGATCGTTACGCTGAGGTTATGAACCTTCTAAGAGACACACAAGAGCAGTTACGTCGACAGAGACGTAAAGGTCTTCCAACTGCACGAGGCGGTTCATTGTTCCCATCACTAAATGCTACAGCAAATCCTGATTCTATTGCCAGTGAACTGGAGAGTTCTCTCTACTCTGAGCTCAGCCTAGATTCAGGCATCAGCACTGACAAACCGTAAGTTGTTGTTGATTTTCTCCTGTAACAAGAGATATATTTATATTATTGCATTTTTGAAAGTGATTAAACGAACATTTAGTAAACAATCTTGGTGAAAATTGGGAATATAGTTAAGATAATATAAATTATATTTTATTATTTTATAAGTTACAAACTTAAAATTTAGGAGTTACTTAGTGAGTGATTATTGTGAAGGGGGAGATGGCAATAGAAACATTTGTCAAACTGTTTATTTTTTGTTCATCCAGTTTCTGATCTAATTGTTTCATTAATACTTCTAGAGTTTATAATTGTCAGTGATTCAAGGGGTTTAACTTCCAGTAAATGTTTGTATTGAACCCTTAAAAGAAGTGTAGCCACCTGAAGTGTGAAACACTTTAATATTACTAATTGCTATTATACTTTATTTTCCGTTCTGTCTAAAAATAATTTTTCTTCTTTTCTTTTTCAGTTCTTCATTCAAAAAAGTGTTTGAAACTGTACGATGTGCCTCTAGAGGTTCAGCTCACAGCACAACCAGTAGCAGTCCTATTCATCAGATGTACCCCCGTTTGAGCACAGGATCAACTTCTGTTCTGTCTTCAACTGCGTCTACTGGGCCACGCATGTCTGCGTTTGCTTCCACTACCCACGCTGCATCATCTCCGGGGCTGCCTTTGCACCAGTCGCCTGCCGGCCTCTTTCCTGTGCCGCCTCCGCATCATCGCCCTACTCCTCAGTACGGTAGTGCTCTGAGTTTCCCCAGCCTGGATTCTGTTGGTCAGAGTGACTCGGAGAGTTCAATGATGACTGACAGTGAGCCTGAATGTTATCCGTAAGTATATTTATCTTATTTGATTTTTAATTATCTCTACAATGATGCACCATTAGCTGAATAGCACTCTCATTTGAGTGTTATGTTATAGTGAAACATGTATCCTATTGAATTCATAACACCCTTTTTGTAACCAGAAATAAGAAAAATATGTTTGCATTTTTATGCGTAAATGCAAACATTTATAATAAAAATTAAACTTAAAATGTTTACTGCGTTTGAAGTTTACACCAAGTCAATGAAACAGACTCAAAACTAACACATTCAGTGTCTGGTTGTTAATTACAAAATAATATAGAAAGGGTCTCCCTAGGTAAAATATTGAGAGAGATACACATTTGATATAATCATAATGAAACTGATCACTTTTGCATCAAAAAACTGTTGCATTCAACCTTTTTTGGCAGTTTTTTTAAGTTTTGACATCATGATTTCAGTTTCACTTTGATTTCTCTATTTAAAGTTTCGCATCTACTAAAATTATTTAGCCGTTTTCCTTCTCTTATGTTTATCTTATTCTAAGATCACACTCCTTTCACCCTAAGATCACACACTTGCCTTTTGAAGATTTACAAATATATATTCAATAGTTACCGCACATATTCAAATTACAATAACATCATCTTGTGAATGAGTTGTGTAACAAGCTTGGACTGTTCTGAGCTTAACTGATTTATACAGCCAACCTGTCCAAGGCAGAAACCTACCTTCCCCAGAAAAATGTCTTAGAACGGACTATTTTCCAATACAAAGTACACAGGATAAGCCGGAAACCTGGGTAATGCAGAAACGGAAAGAAATTTTAGTATGACAGTATTGAAAATTCTGGATAAGACTCAAAACAAATGTTGTTATAAAATTGAACCTTGATTAGCAAGTATGACAACACAGTACCACAAGACTCTCAGAGCTGCACTCCTCCATTTCTCAGCTACCCTTGTCAAACATTGTATTTCCCAAGCTACTCTTGCGAAAGCCACTGTTTTGTTGTAATAGCTATGATTTTTACAAGCCAGCGTGAAGGAAGAAGAGTTGAGATGAGCAATCCTGCCACTCTTGTAATGTGCTCAGGGTTAGTGGTTCTAAACATTTACTGTTGTTCAGTTTGACGAGTTGCAGGTGTTTTGTTAATAAAATTTTTATGTTCAGGGGCAGATTGAAAACATTAACTGGTTGAGAAAATTTAGACTAAATGAACAATATGAACAAAACGATTCTGTCAAGGTTTGGATAAAAGGAATTTAAATTTGGAAAATTCAAGTGTATGACTAAAAACAAAGACAAAATCAAGAATGAGTTGTTAAAATAACATTTTTATAGGCGGTGGCCACAAAATTCATGGGTATTTAGGTAAAGGGCCAAAGCCTAAAAGCATCAAATGAATTCAGGTGTTCCTCCAAATATTGAAGAAAACAATATTTGTTTCTTTTTATGGAGGTCTTTATTTCATTAGACTTTGTGTTGCCTTTCTGTATGCCAGTTTCTTTGTCTCTCTCTGAACATCTTCATTTCTTTGAATGTTTTGTGGTTAGATAAGCTACTAATACAACCTATTCCATCTCTGAATGATTGTGTATTCTGTATTAACAGCTTTTATTGCGAATCAGAATAAGTCGGAACTTGTAAAAGATGGGAGAAAATGTAGGGCCAAAACGATTCTAGCTTAGACAGGTTTTGCTGTAGAAAGATTCCTTACATTCTCTTGTACTCACTACTATGTACTTCAGTAATTGTAATACCTCCTGACTAATCATGTCTTGTTAATTCTTAGTTAAGAGCATTAGATTTATACAACTACCATGTTACATGATACCAAATGCTTCAATAATAATGCATCATTACAGTGGTGGTGCTCGCCCTGGTGTACCTGGAGTTCCTGGGGCTGCTGACCTTGAAGACGCCCTGAGGAGGTTGACACCTGCAGAAGTAATAGCTCGTCGTGCCATGTTGTCTTCCGGTGCTTTCATTGGTTATGAAGATGGTGGTACAGGAGGTCTCTCTCCTCCTACGTACTTGCCATATGGTTGTCGCACACCTGACAGTATTATGTCTACAGGAAGCAGTGGGCTCAGTGGCTTTAGTGGGCACAGCAATGGATGGAAACTCCCAGAAAAACTGCAGGTATTGGAAAGTGTTCTTAGTCCCTCTAACTGCTGTATCTATTACAAAGAAAAATGTAATTGATTGTGAGCATTAATTTGTCTGTCTTACTTTCTGGAAATAGTTTCCGTCCACAAAAAAGAGACTTATTGTGTTCAAACTTTAAATTATTTTCTGAAAATTTAGTTCTGCCTATAGCAATAGCTTAGCTTTGTTTTTTTAATACTTTAATGTAGCAGTCAATGGAGTAAGAGGTAAATGTGGCATATTATTATGGTAAATTTACAGGCAGCAGATTTTATTACACTGTAGTTTATAAAATTAATGTTCAGATTTTCAATTGTTATCAAAATTGTATCTTTTTGACAGATCGTCAAACCTATGGAAGGTTCCTTAACATTGGCTGCATGGTCTCAATTGGCTACTCCTACTCTGGGGGGTTTGCTTGATGAACGACCAGGAGTAAAGACTAGAGGGGGCCGCCCCCTGGAAGAATTGGGTCTACATACCTACACTCTCTCAGACTTGGAAGAAGATGATGAAGATCTGGGAAATCCTGGTAAAAGCTTCCAGAGCTCAAGCTCCATCTACACATATACTAACAGCACTGTGCTTCATCCTGATGACAACACAACTGTCACTCACAGGTTTGTGAAGATCTTTTTCAAAATTTAGAATTGAAGCTGACGCTTTGCTTTCAGTATCATTTTGTTGCTTAGGTGTGTTTTAAATCGGTCTGTGTGAAGTTTTGTGAAATCGTGTGAAATCGTGATAAACTGGGACATGATGTGTCAGACCTAGTTTTTTTTCTTAGCCTGAGTCAAAAGGAATTTGTAAGATTAAACTAAGTTAATTTTAAGAGGACTATTTTATTTCCAATGAAATTTGATACACTGCCTCAGTCCTTATTTTGTTGGGGCACCCTTGTATTTTTTTAGATTAGGAAAACTAATTTTAATTATTTTTTTTCAACATTTTTCCAATCTTTGTGCTCTATATTATGTAACTACTAATAAAGAGTACTGGTTTATCATTCCTGATTTGAATAAGTGAATATCTTAATTAATCATTGAAATGTATGTAGTGTCATAAAGGGCCTTCCATATTTTATGTAATGCTGATTTTCAGTATTTTCAATAGCTCCCTCCCCCATTAACGTCCACTTGGAACCTCCCTCCCCCATTTGCAATAAGTAAAAATATGTCATTTGAGAATAAAACCATTTATTTTATGTGTGTTATTTATTAAAATGTATAGTAATGAAATTAGGTCAGATACTGACTCCACCTTACATATAGATTGGAGGCAATTTGTTAGTTAAGGAAGGATGCATAGGTGAGTCAATTTCTGAAAATAAGCTGTGCACCTACTCTTGTTGATGATGTATGAGCAAGAAACTATTGTATCAATTTCATTGCATTTTATAAAATAATACAGATCAGTTGTGGATATTTTCTTTATACTATTGTATATTAAATAATTTAATTTCTTGACTGAAAAGAAGTAATGTTTAAGCGAATGTTAATTTATTTTTTTTTTATAAATAGAGCAATGTTACTTCCTCAGCTAGTGATTCGCTTTGTATGTTTTAGCCTCCAGGGAAGTCAGATGTGTCCGTCAGCTCCAATGAGTCACCAAATTAGTCGACAGTCTACTGCCCCTCCCACTCCAGGGACAAGAAGTAGACGAAATTCTACCTCCACTTTCAGCACCACTTTGGGTCTAGCAAAACTGCTAAATGAACGAGGCATTAAGGCTGTCACTCCATCAGCGGTTGCGACTCCTTGTCACCCTAGCAGTTTTACCCCTACTGCCACCCCTTGCAACAGCCCTGATGGAACACCACCACCGTCTCCTCCTGCCTCTCCTCCACCTTATAACCCCTTGAAACTAGGTGAGTTATTATAGTGGAACAATTTGGGATTGATTCTATTAATTTATAGTGAGGTTATTTGAATTTAAAATGACTTGCAAATTTACTTTGTTAATTTTGGCCTTATCCAAGCTGAGGACTAGTTGAGTCATCCGTTTCAATTATTTATTTATTTTCTTCTTCAGGTTTCCTGAGTAGTGGAGCAGATTTATTGAGGCGGACATTCTCAGCTGAAAATGAAAGAGTTAAACCAATTCAAAAGCAAAAAAGGAGCAAAATGTCACTATCGCGCTCAGATAGGAAGGTTGGTTTTTATTACCAAAACTGTGGTAGTAAGAAAATTGTGAATTGTTGTTGTAACGTCATTCCCTTTTCCAGGCACTAACAGGCATTCGGCTTGTGGAGAAACTTGAGAGGATTGGTCTGGAAACAATCATGTCTACTACTGCTTCAAGTATGTCCCCGCTAACTCTCCAGGGATCTCTGTATTCACGACGAACTCTGAAGAGCCCCATGGCCCAACTTACCAGCTTTAAGAATACTATTACTTCACCTGCTGTATCTTCCAAAGTTGAACCTCCTCGTAAAGAACCCCTGTTAGAACAACTGAGCTCTCCTCGGAGCAGACCTATCTCTGAGCCTAAAATTGGCAGCAAGATGAAGCCTGGTGAACTGGGTGTACCTTGTCGTCCTGGTACTGGTGCGTTAGATAGGCTATCTTCGCATCGGCAGCCAAGCGGGATGGTTCGCCCAGACCTTGGTACAGTATTTGGGAATGGTCCCCCTGTTCGAGGAAGCCAGTCTGAATCTTGTGTATCACCTGCTTTAGGATCAGTCAGCTCCATGTCTTTAGGAAGAAAAGGTGGTCTTCTCTGAATATCTGTTTCTTCAGTCCATTAACTTTTCTAAAACAAGTCCTGAGTTAAATGCCAAAATTCATGTATTGTAATTGCAACTAAACTGTCTATTCCAGTTACAACAAAACTGGATTAGTGTGATGGTCTGCAATGTTCCTACTTCTCTATGTGATATGTTATTTTTACATATAAAGTTTCAATGGACAATTTTTCACACCTTGAAAAAAAAGTATTTTTATTTGTGATCTTTTAAGAGAGGTGTGCCTTTATATTTGGAATAGTAAAACACTCGAGAAGAATGAAGGCCCTCTTCTGGTCGTGCATCATTATTGTATTTATTTATGTAATTATTTGTTCAAGGACTAGTTTTGTATGGTTATAATTAATCACGTATTATTTATGAACTGGAACTCTCTGCAATAGTGCTATTTACATGCTTACATGTTGGTACTTCCACGTTTTGTAATTTTTGTATGAAAACTTTTATTTTGAAAGTTTGCATTTGTTCAATTTGTTCATATTTAACGTGCAAGCATCAATACTTTTTTAAATTGATGTTCAGCCTAATTAAGAGAAAGGTGTTTGTCATGTGATTTGATTGATTGTTTTATTGATTGACTTAATCAACTTTATTTTTTGATGAAGTAGGTCATTGCTTTCCAATAAGAGAGTGAATTTTAGTTTTCTCTCCTGTTAGAAAGTAGACTACAGTTCAACCAAAGAACAGTTATGGAAGCTTCCATTGAAGTGATGCTTGATATTTATGGCACTGACTGAGAAAGAATATTGTATATAGTGTATATAGTGGCTGCTACCAAGTTACAATTAACAATTGTATAATTTTAAAACTCTGTATTGATTATTTCAAACAGTACGTTAATAGTTTTTTTCCTGAGATCTCCAACCAGTTATTAAAGTATACATGAGATCATTTAATATCAGGATCAATTCATGAATTGTGACTTAAACCTATTTGGCAGTTGATAGTTTGACGATCAGTATTATCTTTATTTTGGCACATTTAAAAAGAATTTTACATTTAGATAGACTTAATACATTTCTGAGAAATAATAAACTGAGTATAAAGACTTCTCTTAAGTTATTTGAAATTTACATTTCTTATACAAGATTTCTCATTTATTTTCTATAGGCAGCTGTATACGGAGTGAGTGGTTGTGAAGTCTTGTGGGTAATGTACCTTGTGCAGCTCGTGTCAGTCTTTTGTTGGAAGACTGTACATTAAGCTGTAAGTGAACATTGATGTTCACAGTGTAAAAAAAAATTTGTAAATAAATATTTTGTTCTTCATTACTTAGTAGACTTGTTTTGAGTCGCAGATAAAATGAGGAATTAATTTATTGTAAATGTTTTTCAGTAAGTCTGGAAAATTCATTTACACTTAGTCATAAGTTTTGTTCCCATTTTTATTTGAAATAGCTGCAGCAGTTAACAGTAGTAAACAGATTTGGTCTTGTCATTTACTATTAAATATTTTGTAGGTAGTGATTTATTTTGTACAAATAGTTTGTAATAATACCCTTAAGTTGTAATGAATGAGGGTTTTGGTTCATTCTAATTTTCTAAAAAAATGTTGATTGCTTAGAAGTTTGAAGTTGAAGTAGTTTAAAATTATTCCTTGGATAATATTTTTCTTAGTTCTAAATTCATCTGTACCTTTGCTGCAGCTGCATTCTAGGGAATGATACCTGTTACCTAAATATGCAGGAGAAATTTACATTTATTGCAGCAGTATTGAATTTTCATATTATCTTCAATGAAGTCCTGATCTATGTACATTAATCATGGTGCTGTTTTATTTATAAAATATACTTTGAAGTAGTATATTAAAGTAAATTTTTTTGTGGATTTGTGACTTATTTTGGGGGTAAGGGCAGTGACACTAACTAATCCTGAGAAGTGACTTTTTAGTACTCTGTAGATAGCTTCTCCACTAAGCACATTGACTGTTGTCCTGATAAAATGCCTGTATTTTAACAGCAGTTACAAAACCTTTCAAAATACAGATGTGCAAAGGAAGTCTTGTGTATTGTATACAAAAAGTGTTTCCTTTGCACATGTTAAATGCAGAAGTTTAACAGATTTGTTTAAAGGGGCCCCAAGCGTGGGTTTGTTTGATTAATTGAGGATTAGTCCTTTTCGAGTAAAGTATGTAAAAAGTGTAATTCGTGTAATTTCACTAGTACTTCCATACTACATTTACAAGCTTGGTGGCTCCAAAGTGAGTTTTTTCATGTTGAAATTCATTTGTGCTTTGCAAGTTCATTACCAAAATAAATTTTAAACTTTCCTTGATCATCCATTTTCAGGCATAGAAAGATAATGAATTAGTGGTGCTACAACAGCAGATATTTTTTTCACATAATTTTTGCAATTTTGAAAATTCAGAAAGTCCTAGTAAAGAGATGAGATCACTCCATTAAAACCGTAGAAAAAATTTGGAGCCTTTTTTTGAACAAATGTTTCTGTTTTAAAAATTAATTCAAACAAAAATTACACCTTTTTTTCTAAAAGTTGTACATAACAGTTTAAGATCTGATTTTTTAGAACAGATTTCATTTAAGACAAATATCACCATCTTCAATATTGTAATTTGCAATTTTCTGAAGTGCAAGGAGTTTGCTGAAAATGGGACCTACAACTTTTTTTTTTAACAGTACTTTGATTCATACAAGGAGAAAATTTAAAGAAAAATTTGTTTGAAAACATTTTTAAATTCTCTATATTTCTCACACAATTATGCAAAATTTGCTTGTATTTTTTAAAAATTGTACACGACCTTGTCTCACAATCTGTCTTTGATGAACAGAATTCGTTAAAGAAATCTTTTACCATCAATATTTTACTTGTAGGAAGGCGCCGAAAAAGTTTTGAATTGTCCAATTTTTGAAAAGTGATATTTCAATGAAAATGAGACCTGCACTATTTTTGACATATTCTTTATGCTATCCAAGGGCAAAGTTGAATAAAAAATTGGAGCCTTTAGAGAAGTTTGTGAAATGTTGTCGAGGTGTCATTTAAAGTACCCCTGAAATCCCAAAAACTGTTTCAAACTCATAGGGCCACATGTATTATATTTACTGAAATCATAGATTTTTTTTGTGTCTTCTTTTTTAAATGTATCATATTCTTCATACGTCAAATAACTTACTCATTTGTCTCCCCATGTATTTTACAAGATTTATGTCAATACGCAGCTCACTCATTATTCCATGCTATAAAACTATATAAAACTTGTGATATTCTAGAATATCCTAGAGGGAACCAGCTAAAAATTGTGTTGAGAGGAAACTAATGAGCTTTTAATCACCTCTGTAAGTTCTTTATATCACCCGAAATGTGATGTAGTCGCTTCAAATACATAAAAACACATTTTTCAAGCGATTTTTTAGAATCTTCTGAATGAATCAGCAAAAGATAATCAGTTTCCCACTAGAGTCCTTAGATTATCCTCTCGATTATTCATCCAGAAGGTGTCTAACCAAGAGTGCTGAACCATAGTGCTACAGCTAAACAGATGGACACTGGTTTCCCATGTATTATATAAGGATATTAAACACAAAAAACACTGAATAAATAAGAAATTAGAAGATTGGTTTCTAAAAACAACTGGAATATAAAGAAACATACATACACACATGAACACTGCAAAATAGAATAAGGAAAAAGCATAAATAATAGTGCACACTTTAAGGAGTATAGATGTATGTATATAATGGATTTAAATGATGTACCTGCAGCAAAATGTTTTTATGGCACTGGAAATGATAAGTGTTAAAGGTGCAATTAAATGAATCTCTTGTCTATAGTCTTCCAGATATGCAAGGAAATTATACTATTTTTGGAACCAATAACAAAGTTAAAATAATAATAGATTAAGGATAAAGAATTTTGATTGACGATAAATGTGAGAAATCAAATATAATAGTATTCTGCAGTATTAAACAATTTCATATTGAATAAAAATTACTGTTTTAAAAAAATAAATGGAAGAATGTGAGAATCATTTCTCTTAACTGAATTCATAAGGATACCTATGCAAAGATTTCTGAATTAACATAAATTTAATGTTTTATCAAATACTATTACTCAACACAAACTAAAAATACAGGCATAAACATAAATTATCACCGATTAACAAATCTCCAATTTGCAGACAACATGTCTTATTCACAACTTCAGCCAAAACCCTTGAAAAAACTGCTCTGCCCTAAATAATGCTTGCATGAAAGTAGGTTTGTAAATCAATTATACCCAAACAAAAGTATTGACCAATAACCAACTGATCACAATAACACGTATATTTAGACCAACTAATCGCATTCTTTAACTGTTCAGGCAAGCAAATAAGAAGAATAATGTTACCATAGAAAAAATTCTGGAATCTTTCTTTTGCACTAATGGTCATACAAATTAGTCTAAAAATCAAAAAGCTAATAATGGATTTGTGTGTTTTGCTGTATGGATCACAAACGTGATCTTTAACAATAGTACAAAAAGCATTGCTGTAACGCTGTCAACCTAAAATGGAAAGGAAAATGGAAAATGCTTCGCTGAAAGATAGAATACGCAGTTAAGATACAAGAGCAATAACAAACATTAAAGATGCAGTTTTTCAAGCTGATACACAAAAATGGAGATGAGGTCTTGTCCTGAGCCAGAAGCAATCAAGTTGGGCGTACTCTACAACCTTCTGCGACCCGCTATTTGGATGTAGGAACCCAGGCAGACCACAGACCGGATGGAGCGACAGCCTACAAAAAGCAGCAGGTCCACTTTGGTTTTGACTGGCACAAGACAGAGTTCTTTGGAAGGAACGGGACATGTGCAGTGCTCATTAAATGTATTGTACATAAATTTGGTGAAGTATTTCCTTGTATTTAATCACATGTATATAGAACTATCCATAACGAACTAACTATATACATTGTATTTTTAATGGTTGTCTGTCATATCTATTGTATGTTGATGGTAGTACTAGAAAAAAATTTGATTTAAACCAGGAAAACCAAAAAGTTTTTCACCCCGCATGAAGCAGGAGACTTTAGCCCTTAAGAGGATCTATATAGGCTACAATAATAATACATGTTTTATTTTTAAAAATTAAAACAGGAAATTGTGTTTTTTTAGAAGAAGAAATTGAAAAAACTAGTAGAAATAAATAGGGCAAGGATTTGTAATTACATTCCTATGTTCATTAGATTCAGACAAGCTTTATTAATGTATTTACAAATTAAGAGTTTTACCATTATTTTTTTTAAATTTATTTTCTGTCGGTATTTTCAGGAATTAATAATTTACATATTTCAGGAAAACTGATATTTCAGTCTTTTATTTTCAGTATGTTCCTTACTGTTTCTAAATTATTTTTGAAATATTATTTATCTCTTAAAATGGTTTAGAAGTGGCTGGACTTTAACCCCAAGATATGAGGTTTAAGATGGTTTCCATTACAGCAGAGGATAAAAAATGATTAGCTAGTACAAATCAATAATAAGAGACAAAATTCACATTAATATTTGAAAATTTTAAAAAGGCCTTTGAATTCCACTGTTTTCCAAATGAATAATTGTCAGAAAAAGATTTGGAATTTCCTTCAACACAGAAATGTCTAGTATACCAGAAATTATTAAATCTTGCTCTATGGCTAATATTAAAACTTAGTTCTTAGGCTGTTCAATGCAAATGTTACGAACGTCTAGGGCATGTGAAGAGATTTTTTTGGTTTCGCGGTTGTTCACCTTATCTAAAGCAAAAATTCCAAAGAATTATTTCATTAAATTTATTTCTTACATTCAATCACCAAGTAAATTATAACTACCAAATATCAAAATGCTGATTTCTAATAAAGTCGGTTCTGGTTCCAATTCTACTCCCGAATGACTACTTTCGTTACTAGTAACAGAGATTGGAATTCAGACGTTATCTGGAGAATTCTAGCGGCCGGTTGCAGTGGTTGATAGCTCTCCGAGGCGAATGCCAGAGCAGAACCTTAATAAACAGGCCACTGACCCCACGCAATCTTCCTCCTCATTTCCTGTCTTCTGACACCCGCACACGCACAACACTACCAAAAACGCCGGAAGAGAAGAGCTCGTTCCATCAGGGCAGTTCCCCAGTGATGGAGATACCTCGAGACCCATAAAACTGATTCGTGTGATATCAAGGACTCACAAAACATGGATTCTGACTACACGACGAGTTGAAGTAATTTTCTATATTTTGAATTTTTTATATTTTGAGATTTACCCGTTTTTAGTACCACGGCCTGACAATAGTGTTTTTCGGTCGAAAATTCGCTTTTTTTTTGGCGCACGATTACAATACTTCTTACGAAGTAAAGACGAGAAAGTAAAAATGAGGCGGAAGCCCTTTTGCTCGAGTAGCTTAATGGCTCAGATATCCTTAAGATGACACTGTCAATTAACATTCAATCGGAAGGTACAATTGGTTAAATAGCAACCATATGTAGTACTTTTCTTCTTCAGAAACTTTACTGAGGAAATACATCTTTATAGGGTACCAAATTAAAAACAGACTGCAGCACCGACGTGACGAACTGACCAAACGCCTCTTCTGTACTTTCTTTCGTATCTTCATAAATTTCTTTCCAGTTTTGGTTGGCGATTTCCAGAGCAGCTTTATCTAAATAAAAACTAGTTAGTTAGTTTAGTTATTGATTGGAGTAGTCATTATTTTGGCAAAGTTGTGTTTTTTCTTCCTCCCCTAAACATTATATTTCAAAATGGATAATAAAGGAACGCGTGCCTATCAGTACAGGAATATTTGACTACTTTTTGAAAAATAAAACACCCTTCTTTTTAAAACAAAGACTGGCCAGGAATTCGTGTAAAGGTGAAATAAAAGTATTGCATTGTAGTGTTAAGTAATGCGGAATAAACTTACTAAGCGTCTCTTGACCTTGAAAGAGGTTGTTAAATTTATAGGTTGACTTTGTAACATTGGCATCCAGTATAGTATTTTTCAGTTTTACATATTTCAGACCATCCTGGTCGTTTTTGACTACGTCGAAAAAAACTGTGTTAGACGCGCTATTGTTTTCTGAAATGAGAAGGGTAAACATTTTTGGTGTAGAATTTTTAGCAAACTAAAAAATTCCCAGAAGAATGAGCATTTTATGATAGCAAAATATTATGATCTAAAGAAGAGCCAGAAACATTTTTAGTGTTTTACTCACCGTATCGCACTTCGCAATCCCCAGAACCTTGCAGATGTACTAGAAGGATTCGCCCTTGAATGCGGTAATTGGACTTCAAGACAAGAGTTGGTGTTGAATAGCGACAATGTATGTATCGATTGTCAAGGTTAAGACTGAAAAATTGCGAATCATAATTAGTTTGCTCATCAAAAATTAAACAGCTTCATCGCCATGTTAATGCGTTTAACTGATCAGAATGGGTCTAATTCAAAAGACTCGTGACCTGTAAAGTGATGTAAAATCGATTCTTAGCATTCTGATTGAAAACATTTTTGTATTGAACATTTAAATGCATATTTTGCAACTAGGTATATACGAGCATATTTACGAAATTTCACAATATACAGTGGATACTAACTAATAATTACATTATTAGAATTAGATGTATTTAAACGTTTATATGTATATTGTTTATTTATAAATTTAACGTGAAATGTTTAAATATACATGTAACGTATGGGAGAGATTACAAGTGCACCTCAGTGGCGGATCCAGGAGAGGGCC